TGGTTAGTACTTGGATGGAGACCCCGCCTGGGAATACCAAGGTGCTGTAAAGGCTTTTACCACTTCTCTTTTACCAAACGCAGAGGAACGCTGCTGCAGCTATTCCACATCGTTTACAATTAGTTTCATTTTCAACACAGTGTTTTTGTACAAATATGTAACCTTTAAGTTTAGATTGAACTTATTTGATTCTACTATTGTTATTATCATTGTTGTTGTTGTTGTTGTTGTTGTTGTTATCACTTGTCTAATCTTGTTCAGCAAATGTGACAACTAACAGCTTCGGGTTGTACTTTTTTCATGACACTTTGTTTAGTAACAGTAGTCAGTGAGGGAATATTTCAATATTGATATATGAGGAAGGAGCATCAGTGTAAATGCTGGATATGCATCCATGTAATGTTGACTGTGGGCCAATCAGCTTTTACTGATCAGTTAATGGGTAACTGCTTGCAGCTGTCCTCTCCATGTGATTTAAATGGTGTGAACTGGGGTGTGTTTGAGATACTGGGAGGATTATCTCCAGTGTTTGCATCCTCTGCCTCTTATTGGATTTCTTAAATCATCCTTTATCTTACAGATTGGGCTGAGCAGGAGCTGTGTTTCCTGTTGTTATGAGAGAAGAGCACAATGATCGTAGGTCACTCAGCCTCTCTGACACTGCTGGTGTCATTTGCTTTTGGTGTTGCAGATGCTATTCGGACTCTAAAAGATGGACCCATGATCGATGCCGAAGGAAGGGAATATAAATCTGCACCATTAAGAACTGATGGAGAAAACATCAGGGGGCCACAGCTCAATGACGGATCCACTGTGCATGTACAGTGCACAGAAACGTCCATGATCATTGTGGTAAAGCCTGACCTGTATAAAAACGGACGTCTTGTGTCTCCTGACGAGCTTTTTTTGGGAGAAGCTGAGCATTCACAGAGCAGTCAGTGCAGAGCTGTGGCTGCTGGTGACACTGAATATGTCATTGAAGCTGGACTGCAAGACTGTGGCTCCAAATTAACAGTAAGTTGTTGATGCTTTATGGATTTATCTCTGGGTGTCTAGCCTCCTCAGTTCTCTCAGATTTTAATGTTTTTATATTCATCTCTAGATATCTGAGGATTCTGTTAGCTACTCAAACAAGCTGATAGTCTCACCAGCTGCCAGCTACCATGGCATTACAAGGACGACCCATGCTGTGGTTCCTGTTTCCTGTCACTATAAAAGGTGAGATTTTACTCATTGTGTTGTGACATTTTTTTGCTGTTTTAGACTCCTATATAATGGCTGACGTGTTTACTTCCTGCGACAGGACACACTTTGTGAGCAGCAATGCTCAGCAGCCGCCCCTGACGCTCTCTGCTTCCGCCAAGCATTCAACAGGGAGCTCTACTTTCTCACTGCAGCTGATGACCGGTATGTGTCCTTGATAAGCGTGCACCTATACTGTCAATGGTGTGCATGGGTAGTGAAGTTTGTATCTACTTGTAGATGACTGGACGAACGAGGAGTCCTCAAGTGTCTTCTACCTCGGAGACCTCCTGCACCTCCAGGCCTCCTACACCGGTCCTGGTTCAGGGCAAAGACGACTCTTCATCGACAGCTGCGTTGCCACTCTGTCACCTGACAGAACATCAGTCCCCAGATACTACTTCATTGAAAACCATGGGTAAGAGTAGCTCAATGTCATTATCAAGACAATACTCACTGAACCACAGGCCTTTGACATGTGATTTTTGTCAGGTGCCTCACTTATGCAAAAGAGGGAGGATCAGACTCACTGTTCCAACCCAGAACGAAGGCTCACTCACTTCAGCTACAGCTTAATGCTTTCCTGTTTCACCAGGATTCGAGGAACTCTGTGAGCCCCTTTATAACCTGCATGATTCAAAATGTTTGGAAATGCTACAAGGTTGCGTAATGACATCTCTATGGTCTCCTCTTATTTATTTAGATATTCATCACTTGCCAGCTGAAAGCTACATCTGAAATGTGGGAGAGCAGCCCCAAAAACAAGGCCTGCAATTATGTACATTCAAGGTGATTTATGTTTTCTTTTGTATCATACAAAACCATCCTAACAGTTAGTGTCTTTATATTTTTACTGCAGATGATAAATGTCCACACCTGAAAAACAAATGTTTACTTAAATGTAGTCATAATATTTATGACAGAATTAAGGGATATTAACTATTCTGAAAGATGATTTCTGTTTTTAAATAAATACCCAAATTAGTCATTATTTCTCTTAACAATGCTTTGAGTGTAAGAGTAAGTGTGGAAAACCTGCAGTGCACAACCTGTGCTGTCAAATCACAGCTACAGTATGTCTGCTCCAACTATATTATAAAAGATTTTATTAATAATTATGTATACTTCTTGTCATCAGATGGAAAAATGTGGATGGGAGTAATAATGTGTGTCGATGTTGTGAGAGCACCGGTTACAAAAGATGCCCTAAATGGAACAATAAGACTAATCTGAGACGTCCTGAAGGTATGTTGTAGATCCTAACGAGTTTCATGACGAGTGTAAACCTGTTAATGTACAAATGTCCCAACAAAATGCTTTCCTATTAACATTTTGATTAATGTTTCAGATATCGTGGCTTGTGGCACTGTAACGCTTGGCCCGTTGATGATTTACCCCAGCAAGTAGACAGAGAATCTGGACAATAAACAGAACATTTCATTATGTCATTTTAATTTTCTTGCCATGGCAAAATTAAAATCAACAGTATGACTTGACAGAGTTAAGATCTGTGTCTTCAATAATTATATTACATGAAACATACAATAACAGCAGCTCAGACTACAAGGGCAATAAATCCCATCTTTAATATTTTATTCACTTCTATTAACATACTTGGCACTGGAGTTTTTGAGCTGCAAACAAAAATTATGACACACATTAATGTCGGTGTTAAAATTTACATTATTACCAAATTTATCAAAATCTGCATTTTGTAGGTTAAAAATGGCTCCACACACAACTGCACTAGGTGTGCTTTAAAAACACCAGTCTTTTTATTTTTTTATTTTGAAGGTTCATATTGGAAAAACTAATGGTGGCTGTAGGTAATGTGTCTGCAACACAACAGTTTCTGTACATCAGTATCGATTTTGTATGTTATTGTAACATTATTAGAAAGAGCTGTTTTTAATGATTTTTTTTCTTTGTTTGGAAAGACCAGTTTAAAGTTTAGTTTTTAATTATATAACTTTTATTACTTCTACCTAGTCATTGTCAACAGCTACAAGGTGATGTGGTGACTAATAGCATCTGTAGCTGTGAGTCAAGTCTGTTTTCAGTAGCCTTCTTGCTAGCTAGGCTATTCATACTGTACAATTTGTACTGTAAAATACTATGAGTGGTGAACTATGTGATACAACTGTCTAAAACTAGGATATTAGTTAAATTAAATACACAGAGAAATCTTTAAACATCCCTTTGCTGATTGTGACCAAGGAGTCCTACTAAAACCCCCTAAAACTGGCTGCGTACTTGAGACGGTTATCACAGGGTTTATTCTGACCTCCGTAACTTTGTTTCATTTGGGATCAGTGGAAACAAGTTAAGGTGCAAGCATTCAGTGTCTGTGTCTGTGCAATGCATTCTGGTACTGTGTGGAAATCACTGTCCATGCTCCCTCCTCTCTACATCTTTACATCTAACAGTGACAGCATTGAAAATGAAAACCATTGACACAGAAAAGACGGTGGAAAAAGTCCGACACTACATAACAAAAAATATAATATCCAAATAAAATATTTTTTACTGTTTGCTGTTTTCTTTTTCAGTTGAACTGTTTTCTGACAGTTGTCGGTTTGTAACATACATAACAAGGAAGAGCGCTCTTCCATGATGATAGTGTTATGGTATTGTGTGGGTGTGTCCATGACTCCCTCAGGCTCTTCTCCCCCTCTTGCCGTCCAAACAAAGCCACTCCTTAGTGAAACATAGATAAGGGAGCTATCAGGGCGTCCTGGTCTCAGATTCTTTTTATCATCATCAGCTCCATGAGGCATGTGAACATTTGTGATCATAAAGCATCAGCTGGTGCCAACAGATTTCTTTTAACCTTCTGTAGGCACTTGTATACTCTAACACAACCCTATTAATGCTACTGGACCAGTTCTAGGTTCAATGGAGTGTGGGTAATGATGTAAAATGAAACCAGAGACCAGGAACTACAAAAAAATACAAAATCCGTCAGTTTGCTGAAATTTAACAAAGACAATACACATAGCAGACATTAGAACCAATGAATAGTCCTGTAGGTAACAAAAACGTAGAACTCACTTTTTTTCCCTCACCTAGGTTAGAAATAATTTGTTTTGTTTTTATATATTAGACCGATGTATAAGTATCAGAACTATCAGAACTATCAGTTCAAAGAAAAGAAAAAAAATCCCAACAGAATAATCTCCTCCCACCAACAGTACAGCAGATCCTTTCTGGCACGACGAAGCCGAGATTTTTATAGAAAGTCAGTCCATGGGCTTGGCTCGTGCGTCGTCCCTATAAAATAAAACTCCACATTTTTCCACTAACACAACATACATTCATACCTTATTTCCTTAATAAACCAAACGATATTAACTGCTCATTGCTAGCGTTTATTATATTACAACAAAGTTTTAATGAGAAAGTCAGATGACCTGCTTCTTGTTATGTAAGCTCCAAACCAACAACTGAATCAACAAGAAAAAGGAAATGGGGCGTCGCAAAGAGTCTATCTAGGAGATTACAATACTGGTAAGTGCAATTACTTATAAACGTCTTAAATAACTTTTTTTTAATAAGCCTGTTCGATTTGTTTGATGTAAGTGAATGCTGTAGATGCAGAAACTAAATCAGGTCACAGAGACATATGCAGATAAAACATCAAATCAATCAAGCAATCGGTCTGTAAAAATTAGGGCTGGGCAAGTTAACGAAGCAAGAATTATTTTAACTGCTACTGTGTAAAGGGAATACTGCTGTTAAAAAGCACCTTATTTGTTTAAAGTGTAAAGTTGTGTATAAGTGCAAACCAAATGTTATTGCACTTTTGTTCATATAGCAGTACTTTTAAAATAAAAGTGCGCAAAACACTACATTTAAATTCATTATTGAATTTTGCGTAACTCATGTAATCGTGATTAAAAAAGGTAATCGTTGCCCAGCTCTAATTTCAATATAATTTGACTGCAAAAACAGTTACAGAGAATTGAAACGTAAAACCAGGAAGCCATTTCATGTGAAGCCAACCGTTATGACTCAGTAAGAGACCCCTCCAAGTACATTGTTTCTGTCAGTCTTTGTTTATGTAACTCTTTTGTCCATGTACTATTATAACTCAATTCAGATTTGCTGAATTTGTGGACTGTTTTAAACGGCTCCTCAAAACCTACCTCTATAGGCAAGCCTTTTTATAGATCTTCTTGTTTTGTTTATCACCTCTCTTTTAATTTATCCTGTCTTGTTTTATATTCCATATTTTTGTATTTATATGTTCCCTATGTATGTATATGATATGATATGTATATAGTCATTTATATACACGTGTGTATGTATGTGTGTTTATATTTATTTGTTTGTTTGTGAAGCACTGTGTTACTGTGTTTTTAAAAAGTGCTATATAAATAAAGCTTTACTTACTTACATTAGTTAATTAAACATTGTTAAACATTGCATAAGGATGCCTGTAGCTTTGTTTTTCACTTAAGTGTCAATGTGTTTTTTGTTTTAACTGCCTGTAATGACTGACTGGCTTCTCACTTTTTTGCAGGAAACCATTTACATTATACCACAATTTCTTTGACTGGTGCGGCCTCAATTCATGTTCTTGGTAAGTACTTTTCTGTTCAACATATGGTCATGTCACAATATATAAGTACATCTCAGTTTTGTCTCAGTTTAAAGACAATATATGAAAACAACATTGCTAGTCTGTCTCTTGAAATGTACCACAGTGCTACTAGAATGCATTGTACGGTTACTCACACAGACAATGAATAGAAAACATGGAAATTACCAAGCCTGTGGACTAAACCTCAGGGCACACTGCATGCTTCTGCAGTGCATGTACGTCATGGAACGTCTTGCTTTTTGCGCCCATGTTAAGAGGTTAGAGCAGCCACACACTCTCTGTGTGAGCTGCCTGTCTGCAGCGCAGCTGAATCTATAGTTTCAGTTTCTATAGTAGTTTGTCTATATATAATATAATATATAATTTTTTTTTAACTCAACACATCCTGTATCTGTTTCAAATTAAAAGCTCCCTTGCATTTCTGTGGACAAAATCTAATTTGTTAACAAGAAATTGTTTTGTGTTTATCAAAGGGAAACTCAATGTCAGACAATGTTGTTCTGTAACGGGTGAATTTGTAAATAAGAAAGCCTGCTAACAACCCACATTAGCTATCCTGCTAAAGTCTTCTTATCGAACTTACAAACATGAACTTGCATCTTGTCTTGGACCTTAGCTTGTTTCCACTGATCCCAAATGAAAAAAAAAGTTATGGTTTAAATATTACAAGACCTATCAAAATAAACACTGTCATAATGTACACAGCCAGGTAAATTTTAGTGTTAAAAAAAAAAAACTCTTGATCGTGAATTAGTAATTTGTGCTCCGAAATGAATTCACTTATATGCACCAGTTAGTAGTATTTACCCTACGCATTTTAATTACTATTATTTTTTTATATAATAAAATAACATGACATAAAAAGGAAAACCATTGTACTAAATAAATAACTTAACTTATAATATGAATTAATGTATTTGTCTGTTTGATTGGTGGCCACAACAACCTGTGCAATGACCTGTAACAGTTCCTACTGCTACAATAACTTGTCAGCCCATGTGCATTAGTTGAAAAATGACAAATGACAAGGTATCTGTACCTAAAATCTTAATATGATATAAATGACTTATATATTATATATATAATTGAGTTCAGACATACAAAACAAAACAAACTGACAGCAAACTGATTTTGAAATTGCAAACACTTAAGAGTAAAGGTGTGCTAACACTGCTTTGTCATCAACAGAGACACCAAAAGACTGAAAAATGATCAACAATGATACAGTTGCTCTAGTCTGGTGATCCACATGGTAAGAGTGATCTTTGGTCAAGTGTGCATGTGCATGTCAAGATAAATACAATGAAACCAATATTAAAGCTTACTCTTTTACTGTCCTTAGAAACATACATAATAATGGAAAGCAGCTCCTCAGAGATGGGTGAGTATGAAGTGTAACATATCACTATTGTGTAGTAGAAATAGAGAGAATGGTTTGGTGCCATTAGACCTTTTTACACCAAGTCTGTTTTTTTCATCCAAAATTGTGCGTTAAATAATTATAATAACCTCACATTGTGTCAATCACATTTACACACCAAACTTTTGGCTGTCATTAACGTTTTAGAAACAGGTTCTTTCCCACCAGTCAGATGATAAAAGCACACAGACAGAGAGCGGGACAGCTCAGCCACTTGTAGTGACAGTACCAAATGTGCGATGCAGGCACAGAGTGGTGGCAATTAATCAGAATGACTCAAATCTGTTCAGTTCTATCTAAAAGACCTTCACGATAAAAAGTTTCCAAAATCTTAACATTTGGTCAAAGTTTAACAGGCCTTTTTGTTGCTACAACATTTCAATGAAGAAGCCATGGCACCAGATTTAATGGACACACATAAAACTAGGTAGGAACATATATCATATTTCACTAACTCCTCACTAGGGAATTGATCAGATGGACTTCAGATTTGGTCAATGCAGTCTGAAGATCTTCACGGTCATAAGTTCTTGACTTTGTACTTTCACTTTATCCACTCTGCGTCAAACTTCACATGTCTGATGAGAGTCCCGCCCTGAACATATCTGCATGCCAATATTCAGTCATACTCATACTCATAGCACCACCTACTGGAAACAGGAAGTAAGCCTTTTGTGGCGATTTTGATCTGATTTACATGAACGACTTGCTTGCAGTTTGCTTGCAGCTTTACTTTTTCTACTTTCAGTGAAAAGGACCACAAAATCATCCTTATTACATGATTACTCTATCTTGTATTATGAATTTCACAACAAATAATATAATTAAATGCATTGGACTCCAGATTTCTGTGCGTACTTTAATTGGATGACAGATTAAAAAGATGCATGAGAAAGATTTGAACTTGATGCGCAAAGGCCTTAAGAGCTGTCAAATAATGTTGGTTAAACAAATTCACCACTGCTAATATAGTTTGTGTTTCAAGTCAATGTAAAGCAATCAGAAACAACCCTTTCATTAAGATTTAAAGGGGACTAAACATTTCCCTTCCTACCTGTGAGGGTATTATATATAACAAAATATTATACAAGATAAGACTGTGATGGTATTAATTTTTTTTTGGACTGGTTGCTATGCTCTTCTCCACACATTGTGCACTACTAAACTTCACAATTATTGTTCAACGCTACATTGCAGTTGGGTGTGGGCTCTAATACAACGTAGTCACAAGTGCATCAGACTAGAACCTTTGAACCCATAACGATCAGAGCTGCTGTGTTTTTCCTCCATACAAGATTTAGTGTAAAGTTGCCCATGTGCAGTTATATTTAGAGCACAATTTTAGAATAATTAGAATTAGAATAGAAAGTAGAAAATCAAAAAGGTTGAAGGGTCAGTTTTAGCAGATGCATTGCTGGACACCACTATATTTAATGTATCTTTTAATACAGCAATTTGGGTAAAGTAACCCCTTATAAGCCCAGGCAATATCACAAACATCTCATTTTTAATACAAAACAACTTACATCTTAATGTATCACTGTGTGTTGAAACAGTATAATGACAGTTACATAAGGTCTTCACAGTGAAATGGTCAAAGAGACATTAAACTGCTTTCTTATGACACTTGATTTAAACTTTTTGTTCTACAGGGTGGCAAGATCTATCCCCTGACAAATGGACAGAATGTCATGTAAGCTGCTGGTTGAAATGCATTGGAATAAAAGAGAAGTACATAAAAACACTGGAGGAGGAGGAGGTGACAGGACCTGTTCTCACAAGTCTAGAGAAGGAATACCTCAGCACTACAATTGGAATGAAAAGTGGCCAAATTGAACACCTACTGAAGAAAAGAGATGAGCTTTTGATGTCAGAACCAAGCAAACTGAAAAAGGGAAAGGATATAACTTGTAAACATAGAGATGACATAAAAGAAAAGGTAGGGTTAGAACAGGAACCAAACCCCCCTTCACAAAAATCTTCTGACAAAGCAAAAACGGAGGATATTCCTATTGAGTGCAAAGACAACTTAACTTCTACAGGAGTAACTTCATCTTTCTGTGACTATCGGTGCTTTGACCAGGATGAAAAAAACTGCCGATATGTCAAACACAATGTGTTACCTCCAGAGACAGGAATTGAAAACATGATTGTTCCATGTCATGAATATAAGTCACTGGAAAATGTGCACAGTCTAGGCTCAGAAAAACTAAAAACAAAAGTAGCAATGGAGGTGTTGAGATTTGCTTGTGCATGCATGAATATGCGAACCAATGGGACAATCCATTTTGGGATAATGGATAAAGTAAGAGGCAAACATAAGCATGGTGAAATTATAGGAGTACCTGTCAGCAGTACAGATGACTTTGTGGATGCACTAGACTACATTGAAAGATGCTTTAAAGATTCAAATCAACAATGCCATGCCAGGAGGTGCATAAGGAACCCCCGATTCATTGAGGTCATTGACAAGGAAGCAACTGAGAAAACGTGGGTCATTGAATATGATGTTGTCCCAAAAGCAAGCATTGTGAAAGATCATTTTTACTCTGTTGGTATCCCAAAATTCTCTGAGAAGGACAAGAAAGTCAAATATGAAGAGAAAGTTCCTTATCACAGAGTAGGAGCTAACACACCACGCGTACCTGATGATGAGCTTGTTCATTTCATTCAACAACTGAGAGAGAAAGACCAACAGAGAGAAGAGGCAGAATCTTCAAACAGTCAAATGGCTGTCAACTATGGAGAGAATCAAAAGCAGAAACTCTCCAACCTCTTGACATGTGGGAAAACACATATGGACAACTCTCTGTTATACATAATAGTGACCAACAAATTTCAGGCTGAGCATCTCAACAGCATAGGTTTCTTGTTTCACATGAATCTATTCTGTGTGTTTGATTTTGATCCTGATTCAAAGACATCTGGTTTTTGTATCAAATATAAGGAGCAGAAGGCTGTAACCCCTCACTTTCTTGACAACTATGCAAATAATGATGGATTGAAAACTAAAGACTTAATTGATTCTTTGAAGCTTTTTGATAGAACAAGCTGGATTTTCTGCAATGGAAGAAAAAACTTCCCTGGTGGAGAGGAAACCTATGATGAAAAAAAATGGATCAAAATGAGAAAGAAGAAACTGAAAACTGCAGTGTCTCTCATCTGCAATTGCATCCTTCCCAGGGGTTCATTTGTAGTCCTCTTCCTACTCATGTCTGATGTTGAGCAGCCACTTGTTGAGACTTTCCATGAATTCTATGCAGAGATGAATGGACATGATTTTTTGGCAGTCATATCAGAGTCAAAGGAAAATTACAAAAAATGGTCAAGTCTTGCCCAGGTGTCTTGTCCCATGTCTTCACTCAAAGACATCAGCATTGTTGAAATGCCACTGACTCATGTGGATGCCACAGTTCAAAGCATTCAGCTCACCAAAAATCCACCCACAAGGACATTGCCAGTTCTAAACGGAGGTGTATGCTTTTTAAAGTCAGTTGAAGAGGATATGCTAGATTCTTTGGAAATCCTCAGTGTTGACCAGTGTGAAGAAACAAAATTGGAGATCATGAGTGAGGATGAAATCAAACAAATTGAGTTGTACTTCTATCAAGGTGGAAAGATAGACTGGATAAATCTATGGCTTGCTGACAAACACAAGTGTGGAAATATCATAGAGAGGGATGCCTATAAAAAAGCAAGCACAATCCTGGACAAGATAGCACATCTTACCAAAGCCATGCGTTCCATTGAGAGTGTGAACATATACCATCATCCTGGCAGTGGTGGAAGTACAGTGGCAAGACAGATCCTCTGGAGTTGGAGAGAAAAAGTACGATGTGCAGTTGTTAAACAGTGTAAGGAAATCACAACTGTGTGTGAGCATGCAGTGAAACTGAGAGAACATGATGAGAAAGACAAAAACAACTGTCTACCAGTGCTCTTGCTCTTGGAGGACCACAATGCAGATTACATAGATGATCTCAGACGGGAGCTTGGAAATGTCATTGCAACCAAAAAAATAAATCCCTCTGTACTGTGCTTTATCCTCTTCATCTGCAAAAGGTCAAATGATCCAGAAAAAATGTGCAGAGCATCACCATCACAAACAGTAGCAGTCACACATGAGCTTACAAATGCAGAGAGGCAATTGTTCGCAAACAAATGTGAGGAAATCAAACAGCAGTTTCAACTAGACTTCATCCTCACATTTGTGCTGAGTCAAGAGTTTAAGCCAAGTTACATTGAGGATTTTGTGAAAAACCTTCTAGATAAAATTGATCATTCATCATCTATCACTCGCCTCATCAGATTTGTGGCTCTATTGAATAACTATGTTCAAGGCTCATACATATCTGTATCACACTGCGAAGCATCTCTTGGCATAACAACCTATGTGGATCGAGTTCGGCACCATGCATTTGTTGATAATCTTAGTGAGGAAGCTAGGCTTATTTTCATCCACCTAAAAGAAGGTTCAACGCACATCTCTTCGATTCGCATTATTCATCAACGATTGGCAGAGGAAATTCTGAGTCAGTTGTCAGCAAATGTCCCTCAGAGTGATATAGCCCTGGATCTCATCAATGACAAGTTACTTATCAATCATAGGTTCAGCAGAGAGGAGTTCCTGAACTTCATCAGAGCTCTTTTCATCAGACGCAACAAAATAAGCAGAGGCGATCCTAAAGACACAGCTTTTTCACCCCTTATTGAGCATGTCAGCAACGAAAAAGGTGGTGTTCAGAAAGCTGTTGATCTCATGAAAGCTGCTCACATAGCTTTGGGAAAAGATGCCTACGTGGCACAACAGCTTGCCCGGCTGCTTTACACAAATTTGAGATTTGAAGAGGCTCTAGAGTGGGCAGAGGAAGCAAAATCTCTCCTTCCATATGATACATTTGTCCTTGACACCTTGGGACAAGTTTACAAGAAGTGGTTTTACCACTTGTTTGACACTCTTGAGGAAAAAGAACCATCACCTGAAAGGGCAACTGACATTATAAGCACTGCGCTCAAAGGAATTTCTGCCTTTCGGGCCTCAGAGAAAACGCCAAAGAAAGAGACTGTCAGCCTTAACAGTTCATACCAGGGGGAAGTAGACGTTGGCTGCAGGCTGCTAAAATTCCTGTCAGGAGTAGATGTTTTTTTAAACAATACTGGAAAATCAGAGTTGATGCAGTACTTGTTAACAGAGTACATACCAGCAGAGGTAAAACAACCCTGGCAGAGCTTTCATCAGCAGTTGAAAGGATTGCAAAAGAGCTTGAACCACGCACTTGAATGCATTTCTGAAGACCTCTGCTACTTTCAAACTGACATTAGCGAAGAGGATGAAGAGCTTGATGCAAGGGATCATGAACAAGTACATAATCCTAGAGAATGGCTGACGAGGAAGAGTGCTGCATATGCTAAATTTTTTTGTGTATTAGATGAGAATGACCAAGAAGCTGAAATCAACAGTACTGACATGGCCTGTCCAGCTGAAAAGCTTTCTCCATTCGAAAGACAGATGAGGACCTACAGGCTTGGTGGAGGAAATTTTACATCCATCCTCTCATTACTTTATGACAAGAACCCACAGAGGGCAGGAAAAAAACTTGAGACAATTATTGGCATGTACCCAGAAAACCTGACAAGGCACTGCTTGGACCAGACAGAACTTGCAAACTTCATAATTTGCCAGGTAGCTCTTAACTGTACTCTGCCTGGGTCCTCAAAGCTCCTGTCCCTTGAAAAACTTCAAGATCTCAGCAAGAGATTTATTACAAAGGGTAGAAACATGTCAACAGCAAGTGCTCTCTTCCTTCTCTCCCTTCTGTTTTGGCCTGAGACTAGCAATGACCCCAGTTCTGCTGATATTCAGATCCTTTTATCAGCCATTGATGCACTCCATAAACTCTGCTGGCAAAAAAGCCAAAGTGTTTCTCAGAGGAAAAGCAAAATCGTGACCCACTTCTTTCTGGGGAAGGCAAAAGGTCTTAACAAGATTGTCCACAGAACTGCTATCGAAAAGCAGATTAAAGGCACTCTAAGTGAAAGAAAACTAAAATGGCTTGGAGGAGAAGTATGGAAAACCAAGGAAGTTTTGCAGTTACTGGAACGTGTTGAAGGATGGACAGAAAATGGAAACTTGTTTGTGAAAGGTGGAACAAGAGAGAGCAAGATTAGGGTCCTTCCGAGATATTCTGCCTCCTTGCCAAATGGAAATGAAAGTGTCACCTTCTACTTGGGCTTTTCATTTGATGGAGTGTTTGCCTCTGACATCCAAGTAATGGAATAATGTTCCCAATGTAAATCTGAAAATATCAGTCCTACGCTGAAGTGGGCATTACATCATTCTGAGCTACAAAGGTTAGGCAGACCTTTCCTCTTTTGTATAGGACACAGCAACAAACCTGATGAAATAAAATTCTTGACATGTATTATTTGAAAGGCTGGACTGAAGATGGCCGAATGGGGAGATGTTCTTCCCTCAACAGAAATAGCCAAGAATCTCAGAATGTATTTTAAATGGACCATTAGACTGCTTTAAAATGAGCTTTATTATAAGCACAGCTCAAGAGCACAAGATGTGTGCTTCTAGTGGTATGAAAACAAAGAAAGAAGCACATTCTTTTTTTTTTTATCAAATTATGAAAATGGAAATATTTTTAGTATTAATGTATTATGTTTTTCTTACACAATTTTGAACATTACTGTTTAAGTTGAATGTTTTTTAAATGATCTGAGGCGTGTACTTGAATTGTACAAGTAAACAAATAGTCTGCCTTATGTTTGTGTATAATAAAAAGCAGACAATTTTATGATATTGCAAATGTAAGATAAAGGTAATTTGAGGCAATACATATGTTGTGCAGGAACTTCAGCCATATTAATCTTTTTAGCATTTAAGCATTTTGTTTTTATGAATCAATAAATATTTTGTAACAATTTTCCTTCAATTTATTTTGTTTCTATTCATAATTTTATTTCATCTAAAAATGCTTTTAGTTCAATGGTACTGAATGAAAACAGTTCCTCCTGATATTTTCACCATTCAATAAAGGAAAGATACAGGTTAAATGGCAGATAAACCTTAATGGGAAACATTTACTTTAACTGACATGCCCGAAGACACCACAAACAAGGGCCAACACTAAACTTTCTGCAAGTTTGTAGAGAACACGTGTAAGCTGTGAGGGCCCCTAGTGATGAGTGAGGAGAAAACAAATGCAGAGACTTGGCGCAGACTGAAACAGGACTGCACACTGAGACACAACCTTGGAAGCACTAAAAGGAGTATAGAAATATGTATTTGCACTAATAATATATATATATATATAAATAATCAATTATTTGTGCATTGTCCATTAGACCTTTAGTGTGTAACTGTGTATGCATTTGGTGGCATGGCCAGAATCAGATCCAAATGAGACTTGTGAAACTTAAGAGGCATTGAGCTGATCAGTAACAAAATCATTAGCTCCAATAACAAAAACAAGAGTGATAAACCTGATCTAACTGAAGTATTAGATAATGTGTGTTTATCTCTGTATATTGTATGATAACGTTTGCAGCTGACATAAATACTGGTTAAAAATATTTTGAGAAGGGGAGAAAATTGTCCCAGTAAAAAGAAGAAGATGATCGTTAGTGAGATCCCATCTAGATGAGGATAGTTTTGACAATATGAAGTTGTTCTGCAAGAAGGGACACTTCCATCTTTTATTATATTTCAGCCATCAAGAATTTTCAAAAGCAATTTTCCTTGTTGAATTACTACTTACATGATAACCAAGTAATTACTGAACTCAGAAAGACTGCCTTCCACTAATTTGTACTTTCTATAAATGAATTACATAAGATTGTAAAACTTTGAATGTTTCATCTTAGTGGGTGACTTTAAACTTTTAGTAAATCAAATATCAATCACAGAGGGGAAACATCAAAAGAAACATTAGAGTTTACAAACTGGTTTATTCAAGGAAAAACAGTAAACATTCAGACTTTGGCACAGAAATCACGTAAAAATCATGTAGTGCTTTAAAGGAGGAATCCTAAAATAAATATTCATGATTATGCTTCAGTTTTTGACTCAACTTAAAAAGCATAAAAATATCTCTTACAAAGCTTAAAAGCCGTCCCAGTACCATCATATTCTCAGACAAGGTATGAAAGAAATAAAAGCAGAAGGAAATGTGCAAGTCTCTTCATAAAACTATGTTCTTCAGCAGGTAAAAGTCTAATAGACCTTTTTTGTGTAATATTTTATAAACCGGTTATCTTTGTTTGATATTCTCTTACACAGCAGAGAGTTTAAGAAAAGAAAAAGTTCAATATTAACTGGATTAGCATATTAACAGAAGTGATACTGACCCCATACTTACCCATGAAGACTCTGCCTGTATTACTCGTGTAAAGCATTAAATCATTAGTTTAAATCGAAGTTACGATGTTGAGTAAGATGCTGATCACATTAAGCAGAACTAGTGGAAAGAAATGTGTTGCACACTCAAACACTAATTATGATTTTTATTAGACAATTACTCCTCGAGATCATTTACTGAATGATACACATCAGTGTAAAATGCTTAAGAATTGTTCTGTGCTCATTTAAGGTTGTTTTTTTTCACAAAGACCTCCAGGTGACAGGCATTGAGATCTCATTACGTGTGCACACAAATCACAGGTGGACAGAAATTACAGCAGTGGTACTTACAGCTTTAACTAACCTGTTACTGGAAGAGATTCTCCTTCATGTAAGTAGTTAAATTCAAATGATCAAGTGAGGAAAGCTGATGAAACAAACAGGATTAAGTGGTAAAAGCCATTTAACAAGCATATATGAAACGTCATCTGTTCATCACAAACCTCCCAACAAACATTTTAAAGTCTACATGGCTTTAGGTGACAGACTGTTAATGGCATCTGTATGTGGGACTCTTTAACAAATGAGCTCACTTCTGACCAAGCCATCAATATTTCAGACAGTTAACTGCTGTAGACTGTAGGACTACTTAATATCAAAAGCTTCTAAAGGAATATTGTCTTATTTAATAGCTCTATACTGTCAGTATAAAACCATTAAATGACCACAGAGCTTCCTGATGCTCTCAACAATCAATGGGGAATACAGGTTAAATGGCACATAAGAGCTTAACAAGAAAGAATATAATTCACATGAACTAACATGCCTGAACAAAATGGTGCCTAAAACGCAACAACACAAACAAGGGCCTTCACCAAACTTGCTGCAAGTTTGGGGACATTGAGATCCAACAGCGTGTAAGCTGTGAGGGCCCCTGGTAATGAATGAGAAGACAGAAAATGGTGAGACTTGCCTCAGGCTGAAACAGGGCTACACTGAGACAGGGCCTCAGCCAGTCCCCCATGGCATCGCTACAGGGAGAAGAGAAATCTGGGTTTTAGCACTACAGCCATCAGCGACCCGGAAGTTATGCAACTGTACAATGCACTCAGTGCGTTAAAGGCTAGCCTGCCGGTGCCATGTACAGAGCATCAATAAGAAAAAAGAAGAAAAAAAAACATTTACCAACAGTTTTAATTTCAGCAACTGAACAAAACGTTAAAGCACAGATGCACATTCCTGTCAGTATCTTCAAGACAACAAAAGCACAATCATCATGAAGTCTATAACTGTAGTACAAACCTGCTGTGACGTCTCTTTTCCCACTAACGTCCCGCAAAGAAGAGTCTTACATTTTTGCCACATTTTATTACAATACAGTTTTTACAACAATACACATACCATTTCATTTAGTACTTCATCTATTTAAGATTGAGGCAGTATTTCCTCATTAAAACTATAAACATAAAACAGAATTAATGCATAAACAGGTATCTGAAGCCCTCACCAAACAAAGTTGGGGACACAAAGTCCAACAGCACTACGTGCTGTGAAGGCCTCACTGTTAAGCTTAGAACAGAAATGTGTTCACATAAAACTTGCCTTGATAAAGGGTGGGTACTGCCCATGTAACTCCAGCGCCTTCACAACACTACGAACCATATCTACTATACTTCTATACACCTAAATGAAACATGAGAAGGAAAAAAAGCCACAGAACAGAGATGGTTTGAAACAGTTCATAGTCTTGGTTAGGTACAACAGTGTAAATATTTCCCATGCGCTCTGATGCTTTTATAGCTCTTTTGTTTGGTGTTTATTCAGTGTCTCTTCCTCATATCGTCGTACTAGCATACCAATACTGGTTTTGTCTACTAGAAGCTGAGGACATTAGAAAAGGGTTGAGTGTCCAAACCTATTGAAGAGAGGAGGGCAGGCTTCAGTAGCGGCCTCCGGGAGACATGACAGGGGGTCTCATACCCATGGGTGGCCGTGGAGGGGCTCCCTGGTACCCTGGGGGAACCACAGGAGGGGCCTGTCCGTATGGAGGTATCCCTCCTGGTATGTAGCCTGGAATCCCCTGGGGTGGACCACCATACTGGCCTGAGAGAACACAGGTTGGTTGGCTTTTTATTCAACAATCAGTCTGTTACACAGTAAAAGACATACAGTCCACAGCCATGCTAGTGGATCGTTTACCGCATTCATGTCATATGGGACGGATGGCAGAGATCGGTAAGTCATCAAGACGGTTGAATGGTTATTATGTATGTATGAGTTGGTCGTGTGAGGATTAAAGTACTGTGCACTGACAATATAAACACCATATTCATTTAATATAATGACAGACTTTGGATGATGTGAACTGTCCATATTTGAATTTGATGTTGACAGTAATTACTAGTCGGAAACTCATAATTACGATGACTGTGATATGACATGAATGCAGCATTAGGCACAGTGGCTCTTTAAACTAAATGCTAACAGCTACATGCTAACATGCTGACGATGAATATGCTAACATGCTGATGCTAAGCAGGAGTAATGTTCACCAACTTAAATCGGCCTGTTAGCATGCTAACATCTGCTAATTAGCACTCACCATAAAGTACAGCTGAGGCTGATGGTAATGTCTTTAGATTTGCAGGTATTTGATCAACAACCAAAGTATCAGACGATTTGAAACTTTGCCCTGATGATGGAGTTACAGTAAAGTCAGGGGATCACCAAAGTCCTGAGGATGCATCCTCTGGGGATCATCACTGTCTGTACAAACTTACACAACAAACCATCTAATAGTTGTTGAGATATTTCAGTGGTGGACTGATCAAGAGCCCGACACTGCCATACCTTGAGTGATGCTGGTAGCAAAAATGTAGTGTCATTCAGTATTTTATGGTAAGTCAGAGCATTTATGAAGAAAAGCTTCAATAATGATTTATAAAATAATAACACTTTAAGAGATTCTCATCCTGTGATACCCAACAACAGCTAAGAATAAACCGCTCTGATTAACAGACCAACAAAATGCATAAAATGTACGTGTTTTTTTTCGAGCCAGAGGCAGGCGGTGTATACCAGGTATGGGATGCCTCATGCCGGCCTGCTGAGGAGCCATCATGCCACCCATGGGAACCACTGATGGGGCGGCAGTGGTGGTCTGGGCTTGACGGGGCATACTGCGCTGGTATCTGGGCAACTGAGCCCGCAACTCTTCCTGCAGGACACAGAAAGCAAACAAGGAAGAATAATCTGACACTGACATTCTGCAGCTCAACCAGAATAAAGAAACAACAATATTACTGAATCATTTTTATCTTTAAAAAACTGAATTTATTAACTTTTTCTATGATTATCAAACAGTTTTCTAAAAATACTACTTACTGTAAAAACTATAAAGAGAGAGAGTTGCAGCTGGACTACTCACCAGTGAGATATCCTCATCAGGGTGGATCAACTTACTGGTTGCACTGGAGGTGGTGAGGGTGGCGGGCTTACTGGTCACAGTAGAGGGAGGTTTGGAGACCGTACTGCTGCCAGCATTGGGGCTGGACACAGCTACGGTGGCCTGAGTGTAGGCGGGGAATGTGGGCTTTGAGGGATCAGAGGAAGTAGAGGGGGGAGGGTGGGGGGACCCTGACACTGTCTGCTGACTCTGAGGGGGAAGAGAGGAAAACACATTAGAGAGACTCTGCTAAAAAGGCATTCAAAATTCACATGGGGACACTTTTAGTCATACTTTAAGGTTACTCCCATTACTTTAGTCAATTTACAGCTTGGGATTGATGTTATTGTCTGTGCACTTAAAACAGGCTTAAAATAGATTGGACTGGACTGTCTCTGGATTCTCACCCTTAGTGAAAGCCAGGCAGTCATTACGCTTTTATGTGCTGAGATCTACTTTAATTCTTGGGCTCAAAAAGTTAAAAATTACATTTAAATTAAACAGCAACTGAAGATAAGATAATACGACAGTTACGGTGATTTTATTTGCACCTACAGCACTTTTACAGCCCTAAGTATCAGAAGGTAGAGCAGTAAGCCGTGCAGTATGTAGCCTGAGAGGTCAAACACAGGACAAAAACACTCTGTGCTGCTTGTAAAGCTAATTAATATGAACACAAGGAAATAACTGAAAGCAACCTAGATGAACATCTCAACATCTTTCTTTCTATCTCCTGGATTTTGGCAGCTGGACAGTGTGAGTGTGAGTTTAGAGAGATTTTAGTGAATAAATAAAAAATTAAACCCCTAAAAGTGACGTGTCATATGCAGTGCTGTGCCAATTTGTATTTCCACTGGATGATAGCACGTTAATGCCAAGTCTATAAACGGGGTCTTAGTTATGTGTATCCAATATCAACACCACTGTTGTTACACACATGGCAGAGTAACCGTTAAAAGTGTGACTACAGTTATCGTCAAGCCTGCAAGAAAACAAATCCAAAAGAACATGCTGTGACACATTGCCCTACAGCAGTTCAGAAATAAGAAGCTCACTTTACAAATCTGCATAACTCTTTGAATTTTGTCGAGGTGATTAAGCAATGTTTTCAGTAGTGTTCTGTAAATGCAGATTTGTAGCACAAAAAAAAAGCACAAAACAAGTATTTTCTACCATCATTCTTATCATTTCTTGCTTAAATAGCTTTGTCAAATTAAATATAAATAATCTGCCCAAGTACACCACAGGCAAACTAATTGTGTGCATGCCAATTGTAAAGCTGCAGGTTGTCAGAGTTGAGCAGGCAGACAGCTGCGTACTTGTGAAGTGATAGGGAACAGAGCTTTAGAGGAGGCGGACTGAGAGTCTGCACTGGATGAGCCTGCACTTGTACTTGTACTTGCAACACGATTGCCCATCTGTAGCACAGGAAAAAAAAGTAAAGAATAGAAAATGTAAATAAAATAATTCTTCAGTTTAAGGAATTGCTCCTGTTTTTGTTTTTTTAAATCAGCCTGAGTGAGACACAGAGAGTTACTCAAACATCCCTTATTCAACAGGAAATAATCTGCCCCATCAGAGTGCTGAGGAAGATGAAAAGTGGTAAATGGTGTCATAAAGACTTTACCTGTCCAGCAATGGGGAACAGAGGCTTTGTGACGTCAGTTTGGACTGAGGGGGCTGTGGCAGCAGGAGCAGCAGGTCTAGTTAGCACGTTTGCAGCAGGAGGGACCTGAGCCATGTGTGTGATGCCTGGACGGTGGCCCACAGGGGGAGGCATTCCTGACACCAGCAGAACAAATGTATTATAGAAGGGAACAGGGAAGGCCTCCCCACAGCTGCACATATTAACATTCATTTTAAATGAATAATTCACATTAAAGGGACACTTCACCCATTTGCATTAAGCTTTGTGTCGTTAGAAACCCAGTCATATTTTTGAATGGTC